AAAAATAAAAAAAAAAATTAAACAGATTTTTCATCAATTTTTAAATTATTCCATTTATAATTTGTTGCACTTATTAAAAAAAAAAAAAAATAAACGATAAAGGATATTAAGATAAACATAAATAAAGATTTTCGATATCTATGCAACGGCTTTGTGATATTTGAGAGAAAAAAAAATAAAAAAAACCTAAAACATCAGAAGCGTGTTTCATTCCCTTTTAAACTTACCCTTCACTCATATCATTAATCAGTTTGTTTAGATATTTTTTTTAAGATGCATTCTTCTTCGTATCCTTCAATTGATTAGCATTGACATCGTTAATGAACTTTTTCTTGAGAATAGAATGTACTGCTTTTGCTGCTTGAACGTTAGCATTTCACATTTTCTGAATCCTTCTTTTTGCGATCCATTTTTTAAACTAGAAATTAAAAGAAGAAGAAAAAGAAAAAAATATTATTGAACATCGAAGATGTTCCTATTGAACGTTCAAATAAATATTCCATTAATAAATATATCGAATATCTCTCTGTTGAGGCTTTCGTAATATATAACTAAATATAATGGTAGAATGTTAAAATATTACTAAGAATTTTTACTATATTAAATCTCTGATGTCTTAGAAATATTATATAACAGTATATATATATACAAATAATTTTGATACATGAAGATCTACATAGAATGTTTAAAATACTTGACGTTTTTGACTTTCTGACTAAAACAAAAAAGTTTTAGTTTTTAAGTGTATTTGTTTAAAAAGAAATATAAAAAATATAGATACTCCTTGACAATACTATTATAGGAGAACTATATTAAACTTCAACCAGGCAACAAATATTGTTATATTTTTTTATTCAACAAATTCTGATATATTTTCTTAATGATCAAAATCACATGTATTAATTAAAAATCAAATTTCTCATTGACTCTCATTATTTTCAATAATTTTTTGTTCCATTCATAAAAAGATTTCGCAAACAGGTTGTGATCGGTGAAATAAATGACAGACATCAGTGTAATTAAATAAGAGATCTGCATTTTACAAAGCAATAAGTTACACGAGAGTTCTTACACGAAATCAAAGATCCGACTCGAGTCGTGGCTTATTTGTTTGTTTCTTTTTTTCTTTCTATACAAACGAAACACGGCAAAAAACGCGATCTATATTTGCAATCTCGCGATTTGCAATCATGCGGAAAGCATGTAGGGATATACATATATATTTATATATAAATATATAAATATATATATATATTTATGTGTGTATGCATATATATATATATATATATATACATATATATATATATATATATATGTATGTATATATATATTTATTTTCTGGATGGAAGTAAGGCTTTTCTTTCGTGTGACGATTATTTTCTAGTTCAAAGGGTGCTCTGAGGTATATATTCTTTAAAATTCCATGTACTTTGCCATTTGACAATAGTATTAAGAGTCTCAGAAATTAAAAGTTATTTGATTTCGCTTGGAAGACTGAAGGAACGATATCGTTCGTTCGTGTAGAAGACTATAGTCGGGCAAAGTAGCACCAATTATGCGCGAACAAGAAGAAAGAAAGAAAGAAAGAAAGAAAAAAATAAAAAGATAGAGAGAAAGAGAGAGAAAACAGAAAGGAGAGAAAATGAAAAGAAGAAGAAGACATGTTCAACCACGACGTCGAAGCATTACGGTTATTATACATTTTTATTAGTTTAGCACCTACTTACTCGCTGCTATCTTTTTTGGATAAGCCGCGAGAAAAGCCGCGAGAGAAATCGTGAAAATTGTTGACTCTTGTTCGCGTACAATTATCAGGAGACTTTTTTCGCAGCTTAATTGTTAACGATACGAATTTTCCTTCCTCTCTTTGTATCTTAATTATTATAATAAGACGAATCACCGTTTCGAGTGATTCGCCTTCTTTGATTCCCTTTCGATAATTTTTTATTTGCTATTACGACGAAAATAATACTTCAGACACTTTTATGCGACCAATCGACTTTTTCCTAGTCACAACATGTCAACGTAGAAAACACGAATATATGTATATATATATGTATGTGTGTACGTGTGTTATGTGTAACGATCGATGAAAGTTTCATTTCTTTGATATTTTATTTTTCCATCTATAACGGGATTCGGTTCATTCGCAACTGGTCTTCGTTCGTGTGTCCAAAAATTTTATACGACGATCTTCTTCGATCGGTGTCTCATTAGATAATGATGCATCGTCAGAACATCGAGCCGATCCTTTTCGATCGATCGGTTCTTCTTCGTCTGCTTCGGACTCTAAGTCCGATGTTGCTCTGGATCAATCACTGAAAAAAAAACAATAAATAAATAAATAAATAAATAAATAAATAAATAAATGAATAAATAAATAAATATACAAAGATAATGAAGGATAGAAAATTTTTCTATATAGATCGTTCTGTTTTAATCGATCCAAATGAATTATATTGAAATCATTAACGACACCAGACAATTCAAAATCTTTACATTTATAATCTAACAATCTATTCACCTTCGTTCAAATATTTTCTCATAAATATTTTATTTGGATCAGATTAAAATAAAATGCCCTATATATACATATTTTTTTTCCCCTATCAAATCCAACCTGTCGCTATTTTCACTAGTCGCTTCTTCGCTACAATCTAAGTCGAGTTCACCCTGTATAGCACTTTGCAAATCGTCTATTCTTTGAAGTGCTAATCTTAGATCGTCCCGAGCAACCTTAGTTTCAGCTTCAGCAGCCTCCAAAGATTTCTCTAATTCGCGTCGTGCACGTGTCGCTTCTTGTTCGCGAGCTAACGCGGAACTCGCTTCTTCACGAGCATCGCGCAATGATCTCTGTAATCTTCTTGCCGTGTCTTGTGCCGTTTGTTCCTTTGTTCTAAGTAAAGCTGTCTCAGTTTGAAGCTTTTCAACACTCTCCTTAAGTCGTGCTATTTGAGTCTGAAAAAAAAAAAAGAAAAATACGATGTTAATAAATTTTTAAATATTAAATCAATTCTTTATTTTGTTTCATTGAGAAACGATTAAGAAAATTTTTACTTCGAGACGAGCTCTTGTTGTTTGTTCCAGTTCCAATTTACTTTCCAACTCCTTTGTGCGAAACTCTAATCGTCTCGTAGCAAGACTATTAGCAGTTGGATCACCGAGTTGTTCAACGGATTCCAATCGTTGACTCAATTCTGATAATTGATCTTTTAATGACGATTTTTCTGCTTCGAGTGCCGCGATTTGCACCTGAGCTTCTTGTAATTGTGCTTGTTCTGCTGAAACTTGTTGAACAGCAGCTCGATACTTTTTCAATACCTTAAAAAAAAAAAAAAAATCACATCAAATCAAAATCAATAAATATTTTTACAATTTACTATTTATAAATGTTAAATTACACTGTTTTTATTCTTAAGTATTAAATGTTAAATAATATGTAATTAAAAGTTTATACGTGCAAGGTAACTTACTTCGGCAAGTTCTTCTTCATTTTCTTCGAGCTGAGAGAGGAGTTCCGATCGTTCACGATTAGCAGCATTAGCACGATCCTCGGCTTCGGAACGTAGTCTCGTAGCTTCCTCCAAAGTAGCTTGCGTCTCGTTCAATTCTTGTTCCAAAGCTTGTTTAGCTTTGACAGCCGCTGCTCTGGCACATTCAGCGTCTTCCAATTGGTTTTTCAATTGTCTCAAAGCTGCTTTACCAGTCGAATCACCTTTCGATCTTTCTAGCATTGTTTGGGCATCCCTCAGCAATGCTCTTGTCCTCTTTAGATCTCTTTTTAATCTTTAACATTTCAAAAATAAAAAACAAATTGAAATAATATACACATAATATTCAATTGAAAAAGATTTAAATAAAACGCTATTTAAACATAACTAAAAATAATTTTTAAGCAAAACGAACCTTTGTGTCGTTTCAGCATCCACAGCACGATCAGCCCTATCCTGTTCTTCTATGGCTACCAATCTTCGTTCGAATTCGTGTTTCTCTCGAAGAAGTATCGTTCGTTCCTCATGTTCGTTCTCCAATTGAGATTCCAAAGCTTTTACTTTTTTAAGGGCATTTCCACGTACATCTTCCAGCTCTTCGTCACGTTGCTGCATCTCCTTTCGCATTTCTTTACGTTGCTGTTCAATACTCATCTCGAGTCTTAATTTTGCCTGTTCAAGCAGTTGCACCTGTCCAGCCAAATCATCCAGTTCTTCTTCTTGATCCTTTGCGCGTTTTTCCAACTCGTGTTTCGCTTTCTTCAATTGAGCAACCTCTTCTTCTGTTTTACCACCGAACGTTAATTCCTCCAATTCTTGACTCAACGTACGAAGTCGTTCTTCTTTCAATTCAATTTCTAATTTTGCATCCTACAAAAGGACGACGTATTCAATTGATTTTTATTTCATCATACATACATTATTTATTTAATACCAGTACTTTTTGTTGGTATGATACTTACACTCAAGTTTTGTTCTATCGTAAACTTTTCAGCGATTGTAATCTCTTTTTCCCGCGCTAATCTCTCTCGTTGCGCTTTTTCTTGCCTGAGATCGTTCATCAAGTTTTGCGTTTCCGAATCAAACCTAAAAAAAATTAAGATTGCCGTTAGTCATTTAATAGATTTTTTTTTCAGATTTTAACATACAAACTTATTTTTTTATTAATTAATATCTGCCCACATCTATGTCTTTATATCCTTAAAATCTCTTGTGACTCTAATCACCTGATCATCCTATATCGTATACAAAATTGCTATTAAATTCATCTATATTAACAGTGAAGTCGAAAATACTAAAGGCGGAAATAGGACACGTATGCCAAAGTATTACACAACAATGAATGAACGTGATACAAATGGTAACAAGATAAAAGTACTCAAAGACGAAGAAAAATGATTCGGGGAATATATCTTTGAATTTACGTTAATCATAGTATCCAACTATTTTTACTATCACCCATCGCGATTTATAGCCAAGCTGGATACGATCTCAAAGTCTGGCAGGGGTGCCCTCGCGGCGCTATTGGCCTGGCGCCAAGCCAGAAACACTTGTTGCTACGGAAGAAATGAGAATAGAGCGAGCCACCTCCCAATACTAGTCGTCTTTCGTCAAAGTATTAACAGAGAACGGAACGCATCAGCGGAAAACCCAGATACGATCTTCTGCAAGTTCTTTATTTTTCTCGGCTTTCCAACTTCGTGGAAATTCTACAAAGTAGAATCGGGACAATTTACGAGCTGTTAAGTTCCTGTGTTATAACTGACATCAGAGTGCTTTTACTATTATTATAATCGCTACAGCTATTGTACTAATCGTTATTGCCAAGCCGCGCACGATCATTTTCGTGAATTCAAACAAACCAATAACTAATACGTTAAAGGCATACGCTAAAAGCATCACTTTTAGATTGTTCAGAAACATGGAAATCAGATTCTAACTCACTTGCGTTGTTTCTTTTCCAAAAGATTATTTCTAGCGGTTTGTTCTTCCAACAGCAATCTTAGGTCATGCATTTCACCGTTTAACTTTTGAACTCGGCGTTTCCATTGACCTACGACCTGACGTTGTTCTTCGACTTCTTCATAGGCATCGGCTAGCTGAGGATATAAGTAACAAGACTCGATAAGACACATATAATTATTATCTTGATTGAATGTTCCTTTAGTTGAAGTCATGAAAGATGTGAAAACGTACCTTCTTCTCCAATTGCTTCTTTAGACCAACCAATTGTTCGAGATCGTCTTCGTGCTGTTGAGCCATCTTTCTCTTGGTAAATTCGAGTTCACGAATAGCATGTTCGTAGCGTTGCCTATAGACACCACCATCTTCGCCATCTTCACCATCTGACGCGACGCCGTTCAAATCAGCTGCTCTCGCGTACAATAATTCCATTTCGAGTCTTTCAGTAGTCTGCTGGAGATTCTTATTGGCCTCGGTAACATCTTGGAGTTCTCGTTCTAATCTTAAACGTTCCGATGTTTCTGCATCGATCCTCTCGGCTGCTAACGTAGAGGTTGAGTGTTCTTCCGCGAAGTCAGCCGTCATTTCGCTCAACTGAAATAAAAAGAAATATTCGTATATTACATTCATATATTACAATGTAAAAAAAATATACTCTTACGTATAACAAAATATATGATAATTATCTTCATCCGATATTCATATAATCGCAAAGAATTATTTCGATATGATAGTAATTCCAAATTAAATCAGAGTTTACATTTGAAGAAATATTCATTTTTAACAATTGACTTGGGCTGTTCAAAGGTACCTCATTCCCAGGACCATCTGACAGTGTCCTATCTTCCGAAGCCCTAGAAATACTTCGTCTCGATGAGGGACTCTTAGTCATACTGGAAGATCTACTGAAGTATTGATACCCTTTGATCATGATATTCGTAGCACTCTGACTTCTTCCCATGTACGTTCTCGAGTTGTTTCGTGAATTATTGGAGATGGATATACAACTCTCATCCAAATCTTCTTTATGACCAAGACTTCGCCATTCGTCCATAATATGATCGGTACGTTTAAGAAATTGCGATATTCTATTAGAAAGATAAGAGGAAGCTGTGGCAGGTTCAAGATGAGAGGCCGTAGGTCTGAAGGATTGTCTGACTCGTTGCTTATCACAGCCCAGAACGAAGTTAAGACTAGCATCAAAGACGACAGGTGCTTGCTCTTTCGAGGCAACATCCTCGTTGGGCAAGGAAGCTACGCTGTTTTCACGTGGAAACGTTCGACGTGGTGGTACAGAAAGTGACGTTGAACAATCTAAGCGAGAATAAACTCTGGAGGAAGTTAATGAAGGTGATCTGGTGGACGATCTAGCGCGATAGGATAGACTAGAAGAGAGACTATTAGAAGGTGACGGACTTCTCGTAATCGAATTCAAAGTACTAGCAATGTGTAATCTACTACTTGGTCTTTTGGTATGATTGACGATAGGTGGTAAGGGTGGTCTCTTTGCTAAGTTCCCAATACATTTACTGGTACTCGGAGAATTTATCAAATGTCTTTCAATCGATTCATCTTTCTTATCCTCCGATATACCATCGACGTTAGATTCGAGCAGATTGTGACTGTTTGATGTCATGCTTTCCGAGAATGTTGACGATGGTACCGACGGCATTTTGACAAACCGTTTTTCCTCTTTTTTTTCCAAATTAGCTAATCCTTCAAATAAGATCACAATGAATCTTGCCGTTTACGTTCGATCTTTGCGTTTGCATGTTGCTCTAAGTGAGAACTCTTCCTTTTCTTGCAGAGAGCTCTCGTTTGAACGGCACTCGATCGTTCGATTACGTGTCGAAGAGTCGCATCTCGTTCGGCGAATTGCGTAACGTCGAACAACTACACGCCCGTATCGAGAAAGCGTCACGGTGCGACTGGCCTCTTCCTGGGTCAGCCGATCCGCAAAGAGAGAAAGAGAGAAAGAGAGAGAAGATACGCGTCCGGGGTGTCTGTGTGAGGACGTAGCGAGGGAGGAGGAGAAGGAGGAGGAGGCGGTCACCTCCGAGTTATTCTAAGTGAAAGAGCGAGCGAGTGAGCAAGCAAACGAACGAACGAACGAACGAGCAAACGTGGAGGCAAGGAAGAAGAGGATGAAAACGTGCGACCAGCCGAATCTCTGGCTATTCGCCAACTTCTCTTCGGGGATTCGTGAGAAAAGAATCTGAACGTCGATCGTTCGAACTGACCCACGTTCAACGTTAAGTCTTAAAAAAATATTCAGATAACATGGCAAATAAGTGGGCATTATCAATTGATTCGCAGTTGATTAACATACTTCCAAGATATATTAAGAATTTATTATCGACAGTATATCATTTATAAAAGTTCTCTATGATTCTATTTAAATTCATGGGTGCCCATAGTTGGTCTGATTTATTGAATAAAAACATTAACTGTGATACTGCTCTAGTTACATATTCATTATAAACATTTAAATTGCCACATGTCCTAACGTTGACTCCCATATTAATAGGTCTAACTGTACGATTTTTCACGGATCGTTTGGTTTTATCCCAGATATCCTGAATAAACGGACTTTGCTCTATTGGTTTCTCTCGACATACATCTGCTCGACTACAACCAACTAGTGTAGCAAATGCGCAACATTATACAAACTTTATATCCTCGAGTGTAGGCGTTTAACGATGCGGAACATATGCTTCCGTTTATAAAAATTTGTTTCATTTTTGAAGTAATAAAAGTATCTACTTCGATTTTAATTTCGTCACAAGATTCCTGTGTTAAAATTCTCAACGTTCTATAATCGAAGAACGAATAGACTTTGAATTAGATATAACTATGTGATTAAAGAATCGTCGTTGGGTTCTCCTATCTAAAATTCTCAACATTTTGTAATCGAAAAACGAATAGACTTTGAATTAGGTGAGGCTATGTGAACCAACTATCCTCATTGAATTCTCTCTTATCTAATCGATGTATTATATATTAGATGCATAATTAAGATGGACGTTAGTTTCCAAAATTGTGTGCTAAACACATCCGATGAGTCACTATAACGATATTATAATTTCGACGTGTAGGTTTATGTGGGTCATAACCGAGTCGTACCGATTCGTTATGTACCTCATTTACTTGGACTTTTAATCCAATCTGTGAGGCTGGTATATTGTGGTACGCATCGGAGCGTACAATTAACCTAATTATACGATTCGCATGTAATGAACGGCTGAACGGCAGACAGTTTTCACTAACCTAAACCTAAACCAGTAATATGAAGAGAACACGTTACTACTTCGACATATCGCTAACATCTTCATTAACAATTGCTTGATATTAACCAAGGAGTTGAGAAAGTGAAAATCTTGATTAGCGTGTGTAGTAACAATTATTACCTTCGAGTATATTCCTGACGAGAGTAAGACAAATGATTTATCAAGATCAGCCTTAGAAAATCTTACTCACCTTTGCCTCGAGTTTATCATTATCATGCTTAAGATGATTCCGTTCCTGTTCGAGCCTCTCAACTTTCGCCCGAAGTACTTCAAGTTCTTCCTGTTAGCAAAAATATAAAAAAAAAAATATGAGAAATCTATGCGAATAATATTTTTATCGTAGTAAAACGTCTAAATGAAATTAAATGAAATTCAATGATTATTAGGGTAATTGAAAACACAATACAAGCATATATCTATGTATATATTTGTGTATATATGTTTGCGAAGGAGACATTGCTAAATGGAGATGTTGGAGGGATAAGTTTACTCATATACACACATGATTAACATTTTTTCTCACCGTTCTCGCCTTTAACTGATCCTCGGTCCGATGAACATTTAAGAGAGGCGCGACTTTCACGTACAATCTCCACCATGGCCATTCTCGCACCGACATCAGCTTCCTCACGTTCCTTTGAATACATCTCACCGCGAGGTCTTGCAGCTGTGAGAAGATAAACAACATTTTATTACATATTATGTAAATGAAAAATCGTTGAACGTTGCAAACGTATATGATTCTCGATCAGTTATGGGTCAAGATCAACAACATCCAGTACTATACGTCAATGTATTAAATTATGGATATTAGAAAAAAAAAGAAAAGAAAAACGAATAAAAATGAAAATATAAGAAAAAAAAGATGAGTAATTGAAATATCTTTGCGATAATTAGCTTGCTTAAGCAATTAAAAAATCTATGTAATTTGATTATCTTTCATGAATCTACATATTGAACATCTGCATATGTATATATATATATATATATATATATATATATATATATATATATATATATATATAAAATAAATAATGTAAGTTTTGTTAATTACTTTTATATCAAATTCGCCGATTACTAATCGGAAATTATTTTTTTCATAAATAGAAACATTTGTAGCTTCTTGTTATCATGATATCCAATTACATTGTTTTACTAATAATAATGAAATACGTAAGTAAAGATTATTATTAGAAATAGGACTTAATAGGATTTTGTTATTGAAAGTGCAGTAGAAAAGCTATGACAAAATACTATATCAAATTCGTTAAAAATTATCGATTACCTTCAATGTGTTAAGTTTTCGGCGAGCAAGATATCCTCTGCATCGAGCTTGAAGGAGGATAATATGTCCAGTGAGCTTCTCGTCTCTCTGAGCTTCTAATCTTTCTAAGGTCCCCGATCTGAAGAATATCTGTATAAAAAATAAAATAAGATTAAAAAAATGATGTCAGTTAGATACTAGTAAATCACTGTAAACTATTGGACAATAAACGTTCAATGAGACTTGCTTTTACGACAATTTGGCAAATTGATAATGATTAGAAAACGAGATTAAATTGTAGAAAATTATATAATTGTAATTTTACTACTGGCACGACGGATCAGTATCAAATAAACACTTACGTAGATTTATATTAACAGATTCAAAATATTAAGAGATAATTTATTTTGAAGTTTCAATAACGTATTAAGCGAGCAAAACAAATTGAAAGACATCTGGCATTTCGTCAAAAGGGACATCTCGTGATACAAAATAACTTGTTACAACTATAGGAGAAATAATAAGTATTCATTATTCATAGCGAAGATCATTCGATGTAAAAACAATACGATGTAAGAACTTTATGCCAGTTGTAATATGATATTTCCTGATAAGAAAAAAAAAATATTGTTAATTTTGTGATGCAACGATCATCCTCGTTAATGAATTGATAATTAAATTTAAACATTTAAAATCGATTTAAACGTTAAATGCTAATTCAAATCTTTCGAGTTAATTAGCGAGTGTTATTTGACACAATTGATTTTACGATGACAAATCGACAATTCGATAATATCGATTGTTAAGCAACCCTGGACAGACCTGTCTACCAACGTTGGAACCAGACGAATGTGCAGATCTGGGAGTTTTCCAAGAATCTCTAGATACTTCGTATCCATTGATAGCTTTGGAAACGTCCTCTCTGCAACTATCGATGCTACTAGCTTCGCTGGATGCCGAAGGATTATTTTTAGTAACCATAACGATATCCTTTTTTTCCGAACGAACGAATCTGCGTACGACATGGGAAGATGAATCAAAAACACCGATAGTACGATCTTCCTCGTTACGTGGTATTTCCTCAAAGAATGATCCTCGTTCTTTCTCAAAGCTACCACGGATTTGTTCACTCTGGCCACCATCTTTCCACTCAACTTCATTTTCGTTACTAATATGTCCGCTATCTTCTGAACAATTACCATCCGACACGTAACCGTTACTGTACTCATTGGCATTCTTCGATTCTTTATTATTTTTTTTCAAGTTCGACTCTATCGATGAATAACCCGGTACTAAGTTGTTCTTCGTTTTGATCCATGGATCCCGGGAGTTCTCGTTTGTCGTTGACGAAGATTCAGCATTTTTACAATTAAAGAAATTAACCAAATGTTCGATCTCTTTCGTTCTCTTCCCTAAGAGCTTTTTTTTATTATCTAATGTATCATTCGAGACTACGATTTTCTTGATTTCTTGTTTTTCTTCTTTGATATCCCTTGATTGTCGTTCCCAATTACACCTAAGTTCCTTTATATTTCCAGTGCTTTCCTTTTCGATCGTCGTTTTATCCATTTTCTTCTTATCACTATCGGATAATTTCATTTCGTTACTTACCGGAATTTCTCGATTCTTTGACGATTTTTCGCTGTTTTCGAGATCGACACCGTCAACTCGATCGACGGAATCGATCATTTCTTTTATCTCTCCTTTGTCAGTTCTGTCCATGGTCGTTGGCCCGTTATCATTATCATCATCATCCAATTCAGCCATCAAACGAGCTGCTCGTTCCTCGAGATTTGTTCCAATTCGAGACGAGGACTCTTCCTTATCTAAAACTCTTTCACCAATTGCCTCTCGACAATTCTCATAAATTCGTTCGTCGATGGAACGATCGAGATCTGGCTCGATAACGTTCACGACGTTCGTTTTTGCAAGCCGAAAAAGCGTCGACTCACCACTCCGATCTACCTGCGATAGATCGGCGAGAGATCGACCCAAGTTAGATATTCTACCAGCCAATAGTGGTATTTTACTTGGTCTTGAGCACAACATTGTATTTAATGGCATATTCCTCTTGGACTGATTATTGCTATAAACTTCCATCTTCGAAGACGATTGGACGTTCCACATGCTGATCGATCTGTTCATACTCTGTCTCTTTTTTGTCGGTTCATCTTTTTTATTCTTCTCATTAGGGATCTGAACAACCAAGGAATTCGTCTCTTTCGGTACGTTCATTAAACTGATCGAACGATCAAGATTCTTCCTTAGGGCTTCCGGCTTTTTCGGTAATTTTGCAGGTGCATAAGTTAGTCCCTTTTTCAGGAGACTTCTGTCCTCCAGTATGGTACAAGATGATGATGTTGATGATGATGATGATGATGATACGGTTGATTTGACGGGTGCCTTTTTTTTATCATTTTTCTGTGAGCACGTTATTTTTATCGGACTTTCCGAAATCGCTCGTCGATTCTTGCTCAATATCTGTCCTCTTGTTTTCGATATATCGACGTTCGGTGATGTAGCAACTCGAACTGTAGTTGTTTGTTCACCTTTTCCAGGTGTCCTTGAAGTCGAACGGTTAACTCGAGACGTTGTCTTATTGTTGTTATTTATCGTAGTTGATTCGTTCAACCGAGACGGATTTTTCGATCGTGAATTTACTTCCTTGCTGTTGCTCGGTGACATCTTAGAAATGTTCGGACTACTCTTGGCTTTGAGCAAACGCGAGCTCCCGCTACTCATCCATTTTGTAGCGTTGTCTAACATCTTTAAGGAGGCAATGTTAAAAAGATTAAAAAGATTTAAAAAAAAAAAAAAGAAAAAAAAAGAAAAAATAGAAAAAAAAGAAAAAAAAAAGAAAAAAAAAGAAAGAAAAAAAAAAAGAAAAGAAATAGAATTTTTG